AAGAAAAAAGTAATGTAAAATTACCAGAGAATTATTTTTTTTTAAAGATTTTTTGCTTGACGAATATATGAAGAAACTGGCATGATTTCATAACTTTCAGGTACATATGTATCTATATATTCGCTTCCATAATAAATTAACGCATAGTATTCTTCAAGCCAGTATTTATTAAGTATATACTCGTACACAGATAATCCGAGTCAACTTTGATCAGATGGTAGATATACTTGTTTTACACGACAAAAATATTATTTAGTCACATTAGTCATGCTGCCAGTTTGTCAGACTTTATTTGGGAACGCAAACTGAGACTGCAAACTTTTAAGTCCACGAACTGAACTTAGACGACCAAACGAGTTTAATGACATACATTAAGTCTTAATGGGGTCGATACTTTGGGTAATTATGCGGTGAATTTAAGTTTTGACATTACATAAACACTTATTTTAATCTGTGAAATAATAAGAGCGGTATTCGTCCACAATCAAAAAGTCGATAAATTATTGTAATAATCAACCAAGAGTGACACGATAATTTGAGCAGGACTGTGCGGTTATGAGAGAGAGAAAAAATAACTTGGAAAAAGTTATCGGTATATTGATTTTTGCTGTAATATGTTGATAGTCGATTAAGAAATTTGTAAAAGCAACTCTGCACGCATATCTACTATAGTTTTCAATACTTTTTGCGAATGAGCACTTCGAAACCATCTTGATAAAAGTTAGCGTGCAAGTGTGTGATTAACTTCTATAAATATGAGTCCACCCAACCGATTCGAAAGCGATCAGTATGCGAAGGTCATAAAAGGGCCTGTTTATCGGAGAACTTGTTTCAACTTGGAAAATTTGAAGAACAATGAAAGACGATTCTATTCGATCAGAAAAAATTACGGAACAAAGCTGTCGTAATCTCGATTTATCTCATTCTTGATATATAGCTAACTAAGTAGTACATGAGTTATTAGTGGGTATGTATATATGTATGTTCTACTTCAAGAACGATAAATATATTAGAAGATAAGTGGTGTTTTAAGCGAGTTAAAAATATTTGAAATATAAACTTCGAATTCGTAGTAGTGTTTGGTGGTATAAACGCAAAAGGACCAATGAACGCGTTGAAAATAAGATTAATCGATTCATGCACCTAAAGTCAATGTAAACCAGAACTTCCCCTAACTTGGAGTAGAGTTTCCTTGATAGACTAGTCTAACTTTGAGAATTCGTGAAAATTCAGACTTTAAAAAAGCTGTTTTAAGTAGAAAAAATCTAAACTTTTGGTGTCTCTGTAAAATTGTTTTCTATACTTTTCTGCTAAGAAAGAAATAAACTCAATGAAATTGTAAAACCTTTAGAGATTACTCAACAGTTTGCCGATTTACTTAACGTTTTGCCAACATGATTGGTGCGAGAAAAGCAACTCTTCAATCTCAGCTAAGATTTCTGAAGGAAGTAACGACTAAGAAAATCTATTTCACCGCTTTTTGCAGAAATGAAGGAGAGAAAATCAGTGAAAATTGCAGACGGAAAATAGTATTTACTTTTAAATCAACAATAAAAAAGTTAAACAACAAAAGTAGATGTATATGTACACATGCAAAACAATACAACGCAGACAGTCAGCGCTTTGCAATTGTCGGTCGTCAGCTGACTGGAGGTGCGACGCATTAAATGCGGTAACGCTAATGGCTTTGTTGTTGCTGTATGTTGGCGTTTAACAACCTCGTTGTCGCTGGTTAATTGAGTGAATGGCAGAGATGCGGGCAAGAGTGCCCCACTGCGTTAGTGTGTATGTGTGTGTGTGTAACACAATATGGTGCCGCTGGGTATTAGCAATCGACAACACGCTAACAATAACAACAACAACAAAAATTACAACTACCAATACAGAAAGTAAAATTCATCAATGCAGCTGCCGCGGCTGCTTTGCTTTTGACGGTAATGAAGTTATTGATGATTCACGATGTTAGCCAGCAATGCATGTCTGGCTGTATGTGTATGTATGTACATATGTCGTTGTTAGCAACTAAAAATACATATGTAATGAAAAACGCCAACAGATTTTTTTGAGTGGCACTATTGCGGGTATAAACCCACTCGCAGTTGCTTTAGTCACGTCATTATTAGCGTGAGAGTGAGAGTTATTGAGGTGGCGTGTGATTTTTTAACGCTTTATTATTTGAATTTTTTTATTTAATTTTTCAATTATTCACCTGTTTTCATTTATTTGCTTTTTTGTTAAATTGTTTACATATAAGCAATATTTATTTATTTACACTGGCTCTTAGCTCGCTTGTTGCTTATAATTTCAATGGAATTGTTTTCAAAATTATATCGTGTTAATTTATCAAAACGATGAAGTCAGACTTTCAGACAGGTTGGCGAGCGGTTTTTTTACTGTTATTTTTTGCTTTTTTTTTTTTTTGAGAAAAAAAAATTAATTTGCCTATATCGGAATATTTTTGCATTAGCGGTTTGCCATATACGAGTATATATATACTTATGTTATAAGGTTAAGCGAGCAATTCGCGAGTTTCTGTGAATGCCAAAAGTGTATATACTTGTAGTGATAATATAAAAACTAATTTCACACATAATGCTGAAATTTACGTCTTTGCAATAACAAAAACAATCCCAATATAACACAAACAGGAAGTTAAACACTTATTATTCTTGAATTACAATCGTTACGTAACACACATGCTAAAAACTTCACAAAACGTCTCCATCCATCTCACCCATCTCCTTTTTTTCTGATTTTTTAAATTTATTTTTCTTGAAGAGGCGGTTTATTTAATACACCCATGTATATAAATAAAAAATAATGTACATTTACACATTTTAATTTAGTTAAATAATCGGTGATTGATTTGCCAGGAGGACCTCCAAAAAAATAGGCTCTGGCTGTGAGCAAGGTTTTTTGCTTAAACTTATCTCAAATAAAAATAAAAAAATATTATTTACATAAATTAATACTTTTTATTAATATTTGAGCAACTAGCCAACATTTTGATTTTTGACACAAAAAAGTAGTTCGTTTCTTTTTGTTAAACTTCAGAGTTGTTTCAAAAATCGAAATTATTATCAAAAGTTTTATGCCTTCGCCCTTTACCTAACAAATACTTCTAAGAAGGTCATGTCAAATCGATTGGTTCAGCTGTTTCGGAGAAATTTTCTTCACTAGTAAAAGAGTTTCGAAAAAGACGCTCATATCGCCGAAACTATTTGACGGATCAACTTGGAATTTGCGGAGAATGTTCTTAAATACTTATATATATAAAAAAACACAGAAAAAATCGTTATTTAAGTCAAAAATATATAAACTCTAGCCTCTAACACTTTTTCCCTTAGAAAATTTAATAAGCTGTTTGCAACTTGTTATGTAGATATCAATCTTCCAGGATTGAATCCAAAATCCTCTCGTAGCTATAACTCAAATATTTCCACTTCGGGTTACTGGGAATCGTGCACACCAGGACACGCCATTTTTTCATCAGTACCCACTTTGCCGGCCTAGAATTTTTTTTTTTAATATTATAAATGATTTGTACTCTTTAAATATCAAAAAAAAAAACATATAAAAAAAAATGGATGGTAAAAATATATCGTTTTTTTATCGGTCCGAAAAAGAGCCAAAAATTCGGGCTTCTAAACCAGAATACCCCCTTAAATTACAATATTTTCTTTCGCTCTTCGCTACTTACCGCATTGAGTTTTTAGGTCCACTACCTTTTAAGCCTCACTATATTCTTTAAAAAAATTTAAGCCTTGGCCTCAGAAAACCAAAAAGCTCTTAAGTGTAGTAGACAACTGCTACTACTTACCAATTTAGGTGATAGAGCGGCCTGTCTCAGAGGTGTCTTTATCAGTAATAAAAAAAATGCATCGGTTGTTTTCCTAGGGATTTCTCAAAAAAGTAAACCGTCAAGCTTTTAACACTTCCAGACTTCCGTTGGGCGTCTGACCACAAGTCCCGGGACTTGTAAGGTAAATAAGAGAGAATAATTGATTTAGTTAAGCTTTTCCATGAGGTTACACTCATTTCGAAAAATAGAACTTAAAAGCAAAAATTCAATGATTTCTTATGCTCCCATGACTGACGGATTAACGTAATCTATCCTGACCAGGATTGTTCGGATACCCGCCAAGGATTGTAACCTCAGCAGCAATCATACAAGAACTTGATGTTTTAATATTTTACTGAACGGTTCGGTTCGTGGAGACTTCCAATGTGGTAAGGATGGACCATTAATTTGAATTTAGAAAATTTACTAAATGATATGTGAGTGCTCTTAAATATTGAGAATCTAACCAAGGTTGAATAAAAATATTGCTGAGTAAAATATAAAAGAGTCATGCCAAAAGATTCCTTGTAGTTTCTCCGAAAAAAATTTCGAAGGTTAAAATATATCCAGGTTAAAATAATCAAAAATTAAAACGTGTTTGATGACAAAATGATTCGATTAAAAAAAAATAATTTCTATGGCCCAATAAATATCCAGATCTGTTCCGGTTACTTAGACCGGACTGTCGAGGGAACGGAGATCTTAGGCACTATTTAGGTATATTATAATTATAACAGGATATCGCTTCCAAAATATTTAACAAATATTTGCAAGTCTCTCGATGCGAATGTTTTTCAAATTTCTTTGTATAGAGAACAGATGTATTGTACTTACATACATACATTGCAACGCAGCATCAAACGAAGCAGGCAGGAATCACTTTATAACTAAAATTTCCTATTAAAATCCAAACAGAGAAAAACATAAGACGAATTCAGAGTAATTTGGCATGAAGCTGGTTCAATTTCTGAGCGACATCTGAGAACGACATCAGTATCGTGTACAGAAAAAATACAGTTAGCAAAATAGTTAAGTTTTGATGCATACAAGTTGTAAAGTAATTTTTAACTATTTTGAGATATAGAAGGCACACACACACACGCAAGGCGAACATATACTCCTCCACATTCATTCGAAAATAAATATTCAAAAAATACCAAAAATTTATTTTTACTTAACAAATGACCTCCTAAGGCAAATTTTTTTATTTTATTAGAAATCGAATTTTTAAATTTTCTAAATCATTGCATAATTACATTATTTAAGAAATATGGAATTTTACATATATATGTATATATATGTATATGTATACAATATATACATACGTATATGTATGTATGTATTTAGCTCATATTGCTTTTTATCGATTAGGTAACACCATACTAAACTACTACATAAGATGTACTAAAATTTAAGTTTGTTTTCATACAAATTAATTTGCTTGTTTTTTAGTTTTTCCATTTTTTTGTTTTAATTTGTTTTGTTTTTGTCTTTACCAAATTTACAAAATTTTATAATATCAAATTAGCATAAATGTAGTAATGTAAGTATGTATGTATATTTATTTAATATAATATGCTATAAGTACTTAAGTATAATGTTTTGGTCGTAATTGCTACAAATTTAATTGGCGACTACTAAATTTAATGCCTTAAACAAACCTAAAACGCAGGAAAATCAAAAGGAATCACAAAACATTTGATCGCAAAACTATTTATACATAGAGAATACACAAATATTTATATAAAAAAAATTTAAAGAAAGTATTTAAAATTTGTGGAACGCAGTAAAAATGCAAACAGCGGTGAAGTGATGCGTATGCATTCACTTATATACACTCTATATGTATGTGTGGTATATACGAACAACATGCGCTGTTGTTCTTGCTGTTGTTACGTAGCAGACGTGACATTGTTGTTATTATGCGTTTATACACATTTTACTAAAAATTTTCATTAACAAGCTAATTGTATGTTAGATGCGCCTTGCAAGGAAAATACAATAAATATTAGGTTGTGTAGGTAATTGACTTTTCACTTAACTAACACAGTTGTTTTTGTTATTATTTGTAATAATATTATAAAACTAGTTTGTTATCGTAATCCATAGAAATCACATATTTAGAAGCTACAACAAAATATTTAAATATTTTTCCAATAACTATAACATGCACCAACGGTTTATTTGTTTTTGTGTTTTTGTTGGTTTATTTTTTTGCTGTTTTTGTCAAAAATACCAACAAATAAATTAAATATACGAAATAATAAATAATTTGCTGCTGAACGCAAGAAAAACGTTTGTTCCAACAAGGCCACCAGATTTGACATTTGACACAAAGCAAAACTATTTTTCAGAATTTCGCACAAAACAGCAAAAAAAAAATTCCTACGTGTATAAATTGCTTTAATCAGCGCTTTAACCAGCCAATATTTGTGTGCCAACAACAATTATTATTTGCGGTAATTAAACTTTTTTGTTTTTTAAATATTTTACATTTTATATTTTTTTAATTTTTAATTTTGTTTTTGTGTTTTGTTTTTGTTTCTTTGACTACTTACCAACGACAAAACAAATTTGCTGTCAAGCAGTTGCTGCTTACTGACGCATATGCTTTATTTCTAATATAGCTGTTGGTTAGCTGGGCGATTGGCTGGGTGGCAAGGTTGGCTTGTTGGCGGTTGGTAGGTCGCTAGCGTTTGTCATTACACATTCTTTTTGTGGCGATGACCGTACATTGATTGGCAGCATTCGTTCTTTTTGATACAATGTGGTATAAAGCGAAGGAGCCGCAAATTATTTTGTGAGCAAATATTTTTCGCAAACGAATAGGCTGCGAGGCGCATTTTATTTCGATTTTCTCAATTTATTTTCATTTTATTGCGTGCATTATTGGCGTGCAAATTATAGTTGAGGCGGTTTGAAAATTGTTTGACGTGCAGTTTGCTTGCCTTGCCATTGCAGCGGACAAAAGTGCATGCGCTTTAGTTGTTATTTGTTTTTGTTGTTGCTATCGTTTATAGTGCAATTTGTCGGTCGGTCAAGTCAGTTGCCGCGTTATTGGTGCTGCTCATAGTTAAATTAAGGGTGCTTGAAGGTGCGCTTAGTTGCAAATTATATTGTATTGTTGTAGTTGCCATTATATTTCTCTTCTTTTTTGCATTCCCATTTGTGTGTGTGAGAGGTACATAGGTGTTTGTAATATGCTTAGCAATGGTTAAAATTATTTTCTTTTTTCTTTGGATTACAGGCATTTTCTCGTTCAGCCTCACATGACAGTTGTGACATAAAAAATGCATTATAAGTGAATGTGGCACACCCATAAATGTGAAATTTCAAAAAAAACAAAATTTTTGGGTTCGTGCACTCGCTTATGCGTCTACTTAAATGCATTTATACAAGCTACAAATTTAGCTTAGTGTTCTATAAAATTAGGCTACCAACCGCAAGCTGCTTTTAGTTCGGATCGTTCATGGGATGATGATGTGATACGCAAGAGTTGCAACGAAAAATAGGCGTATTTATGTATATACCTACTCATGCGTGGCTAGGAGCTTACATAATTTAGGCAGGCGATTCAAAGAAAACAATATTTAAGTTAACTAATTGCAACAGCAGCAAATGTGTATATTTATTATGACTTCTTTTCGTTATATCACTTTTCCGCTAGTGTTGCCAAATGAAAAAAATGTATATTTTATTTATTCAAATAAAAGTATAGAAGTAATTGTGATGTTGATAGCATTTGGCAGCGGTTTATGAGATTTTAACAAAAATTATGCAAATACATAATTAATTAACATAAACGTATAAAAAATATTTTAATAAAAAATATTAAAAAAAAAATATATAAATACAAAAATAATAAAATTAAAATATACATATATATATTAATATAAAAAGCAATAAAATTAAAAGAAAAATATCAAAGTTGTAAAAAAAACATTAAAAATAAAAAAACAACGGACCGGCATCATGTTGTTGTGGCAGCAGCGAATAGTTGTTTTGTATTTTAGTTGCGGCAAAACGCACAAATGTGGCCATGCAATGTTAATAATCCAAAATAAGATTTGTTATAGTTGTTAGTCGGTTTGGTTGGTACATTTGTTGTTGGCATGCAGAGTGTGGAGTTTAGTTTAGTTGTTGTTGTTATTACGGGTGAAAGTGTTCCCATTTGATATTCAATGTTTTTTGTTGTTTAATTTTTTGTTTTGGTCATTTATTTTAATTTTTTTATTGCGTGTTATGTAAAACAACGAACGCATAGTAAAGTTGAGATTGCGAAACAAAAGTAAAAAAAGGAAGAAGAAAAAATAAACAAAAACATATTGTGAGTATTACGAACTGATTGTTATATGATGGGATATGTGTTAGTGGTAATATTACCTTAGGGTACTCGTATTATCTAAAATTAAATACATATACTAGTCAAGCATAAAATGATGTAAAAATGTGTTTTAATAAGAAATATTAAGGAGTACAGTAAGGTGATAATAAAAGCTAAAAACTAATGCACTTAATTTTCAATAATAAGTTTTATTATAATGCGAGCATAAGTCGATATAAGTGGTAAAAAATTTATTATAGCAATAATTTTTAGCTAAATGAGATCTATTACGCTTTCAAACTTGGCTTGAGTTAAGATTGAGCACAAACAATTTTTATATTCGACAACTTTAAACATTTCAAGCATATATTTTATAAAAATATAATCAAAAATTGTATATGCCGCTTAACGTTAAACTGTGATTTTGTATTAAGATATTTTCTAAAGCGAAATAAGGAAAAAAATATTTTAATGAAAAAAAATATATATACAATATAAGTTGCAAAACATCAGAGAAAAAATATACTTTAAAAATATATAAGTTAAAAACAATCCGGAAAAAAGAAAAAAAAATGTTAAATAAAATAAAAAGAAGCTGAATTATAGAATTTAAAAAACTAAAATACCGAAATAAGAAAACAAATTTTATTGAAAAGTAGAGTATATGTATGTACGTTAAAATCTTCGCAAAAAATGATAAAGAATAATTTATTTCTTAGAAAACTACAACAAAAAATTTTAGTCAAAACATATAAATTAAAATAAAGTAAATTAAATAAAAAATTAAATATATAGATGTACCGTATTTATCAGAAAATGTTTTAATCTTCTGGTGGTGGATCTTTGTAGCACAATTTACTGCAATTTCCAAACAGTTTCTAAGCTTTTCTCAAGCCTCAATTAGCTGTAATTATGCCTCTATACATATTACCATATATAAAATTGCACATGTTATCACGCTATGCAACCTATCAGCACGCGTGCTTATCACAATAAAATACAAGCAGTTTGCAAAAATTATCACTACCACATAAATACGAGTATGCCAGCATTCGAAAGCGTAATCTTATCTACACGTAACTAAATAATTAAGCAAATAACTATATACCTGTAAATTAAATGGTGGAAAAACTCAAGTGATTATTTTTGCGCTAAATATATAAAAAAATATACATATGTTTGTATTTATGTAAAAGTGTACGAATTAACAATGAAATAAATACATTTTTCGAAAACAAACATACATTTTTAATAAATTGGCATAAAGTCTTATTAAGTGTTGCATTTTAAGTTAATATTTATATTTAATTAACGCTACATATGTATGTATCTATGTTTTTTTTTGTATGCACGCGTGCGTAACTGTGTGTGAATGCACTTTTTACATATGTATGTGCAAGTATGTTGTATGCTGTATGTTTTCTTTGCTATTTTTACTTTACAGTCAATTGTTTAATGTGTTTTGTTATATTATTATTTAACGACTTTAATTTGCAATTTCCATGCAATGCAATTCAATTTTCAATCAATTAATTTCATTTAATTCACTTTACTTTATTTTTCTATATATTTTTTTATTTCAATTGAGTTTTCCAATATATAAAGAGATGTCTATATTGAGAGATTATATGTTTTTAATAAGTAAATAGTTTTTTTTTGTTAGTTTTAACTTGTTTTTTGTTTTTGTTGTAATAATAAATTGTTGCTATATAAGAGTTAACTAGAGAAATATGCAATAAGTTTGTATGCATGTAAGTAAATACATAGCGTGTTATTTTTCTTATAATACAAATATGAGATTTCGAGGAAATTCAAAATCATAATAATTTTGTGTGTATAAATTCAACTGAAAATTGTGTGATAACGAGCTATTCTTAAAAATGTTTGTAAATGCGCTCTCAGCGTCGATTTTGCTTTATTAATTTTTCATAATTGTTTTTGTTTTTTTTTTTTAGTTTTGTATTTGTATTTATACTTTACGCTTAAAAGCAAGTAAAATGAAAAGACCTTCAACTGATTTCTGACTAAACTTTTAACCGGAAATTCTTATCAACAATTAAGAGAGGTTGGAAAATACAATATATAGTTTTGTGTTTTGCTTAAGTTGGTTTATTAATGTTTATGCTGATTTAGTTTATAATTTTTCTTTTGGCATATTAATGCACTTTTTCTCTCTATATTTTTAGATTTGCCTTTTCATTTTCTCACTTTTTGCATTTTTCTTTAGTGTATATATATTTTTATACGTTTTAAATTGTGGTTGCTTCGCATTATAACAGTAATCAATAAGATTTCATAATATAGCAAATACATTATAATTATATTTTTGTTTAGCAATTAATCATTTAATTAGGTAATTAAGTATGTAATAATTCACCGAATAGGCCGCAAGGGCAGCTTTCAAATTTGCGACTTTTACGGCCGCATGGCATTACTATTCGGAGACTCTTATCGCTCTCTTACTCCCGCTCTCTAATGTATGCCAGCAGCAGCCAAGCTAAGTTGACCGCTGCTGGTTATATTTTTGAGGCTTTCAAAACATTGTACTCGTGCTACGAGCGTGCGATATAAGAGCTAATAACTAGTTATAATAATTGTAATTACTTTCTTGTTGCTATACTTTTTTTGTTTTAACTATATGTATGTAAATAAATAATAAACATGTAGTAGTAATAATGTAATTGCGTTTACACAGTAAGGCCAAGATATGAAGCAACTATGAGACCCAACACAGTCAAACATAACAGGATCATGATCTTCTTTCGGCGCGCCTTGCTCTGGTATTTAAGCGCCTTCTTTGTGTCTTGCGTTGCCGTCTGCACATAGTCCATAGCATGCTCCACATGATATTCAATGCGATCGATCATCTCGCCTTGCGACTCCACCAACATAGCCATATCCATGAACATGTCGTGTAGCTCTTTGATCGATGTCTCTAATTTCATGATATCAGCATGACGAGCCTCTATATCGGCCAGCGTTTGTTTGGCCTGCTGAGTCTCCATGATAATGCCTTGCGTGAATACTGCTGGGTTGCCTTGTTCCAACATATCTTCCAGTTCTTCGCTGGTCGTTGCCCGTCCGGTAATCTCTAGTTGACGTTGTATTCTACCTTTGCAACGCTCTCGGTAATCCGTTTGCGTGCGATTGTATTCTGTCATCACCTCGACGAACTTTCGTGATAGCGTTGAATGTTGTGTTTTGCGTATACGCAAATCGGCGGACGATTTGTTCTGCTGCTCCTCTTGCTCGATATTTTGTTCGATGCTTTTTAGCTTGCCACGCACACGATTTGCATTCTTTTTAATATCGGCCATTAAATCTTCAAGCTCTTGTTTGGTTTTCTCATCTGACTGAGGGGCGGAGAGTATAGCCGAATGCTTCTTTTTCACTTCTTCGACATTGTCTTGAACGCGATCGATCATGCCACGTATCTCCTCCACTTGCTTGAAGAACTCATCCATGTAAGAATCATGAGCATCCACATTGACAGCCACTTCCTCGGACTCTTCGTCGTCGGATTGGGCTGCGTGAAGTGCGGCTAATCTGTCTTTTGTCATTTTGCAGCTTTATTTATTCTAGAACAGAGGTGTTTGAATTTTTTTTTTTTTGTGGTTCGTGGTTTTTTTGTTTTACCAGTGAAACACTTCTTAAACTAGTGCGTATGCCTTGAACTTTTTTTAAATTTGAATTCTAAGTTTAATTTTGTATTAGCTGACTTATTTTCGTTGACATTTATTTTTGTCGTTCGTTGGTTTTGTTGAGCTAAATTTTCAGTAGATTTTTTCAAGGGAACGGGTTTGGCTTTGCTCAATTTCAAGGCGATATTTATGATTTTTTTTTGTGGCAGTTAATGCTCGTCAGAAATGCTAATTTAGCGTATCACTTGTTATATGTTTCAAAATTATATTAATTGAATTTTCATATATAATACTTATGGTGAACTTGACATCAGCACAATACAAATTTTTGTTTTTCTCTTTTATACGCCAATTCGTTTTTGCTTTTCCATTTATCACTGCTAATTTTGTCGATCTCACTACGTACTTCGTGTATGCAACACTTTCCACGCCTGAATATTTTTTTGCGGTGGTGGGTGGACGCGCGCGGTTGTTTGTGGCTCGTTCGTATGGCGACTATCGATTTTTCCTTGCAAAATGCGAACGTTTGGAACCAACCGCCGTACCGCTGTCTTGGCAATAGTTGTTTTTTTTTTTTTGAGGCGTTGCTGTTTGATATTTCTGAATTGAATTATTGACTTTTTCTATTTAATTTGTCACTATAACACTGCCTCTTTGATTGTGCTATATATTACAAGTTAGTGTTGCTAGTGAATATTATATCAGCATACGAATTTTTAGCATTTGTTATTTCACGTTGTGAGTGTGGGGGGGCAGAATGGATTTTAACGTATGTGTATTGGTATGTGTAGCGGGTGAAGGCAATGCTCACGGTCAACAAATTCAATTTACTGCGATATTCACAACGACACTCGACAATAATTTGGGCGACATTAACAGCGACGACGATAGCGATAGCTTAAACGACAATAGCAACGGCAGCATGACTCACTTTCTGCCTCACTTTTGTGTGTTATTTTCGTATTCACAGACTGTATGTAGCTTTTTTAAGTGGTAACAGTAGTATTATTATTAAATATTTTATATACA